AGGAGGGGACGGCGTGAGGGAGGCAGCGTGGCGAGGACGAGGCAGCGCTGCACCCCACCTCATGCCCATGCGGCCATCTTACAGGCAGCGCTTGCCTCCCGCAAAATGGCCGCCGGGGCCCACGCTGCCTTAGGCCCGCAGCCAGACTGCCCCAGCGGGCTCCCCTCCGCCCGGCCTGAGGTGGCTGGCACCCAGTGGTTGGGAGCAGTGGCAGCCATCCCACAGATCCATGGCGAAAGGGGGACCCTGGAAGAGAGGGAGTCGCCATGGTGGGCCGGAATATGTCCTGAGGCCTGGCGAGTGGCCATCTTAGCCCGGGCCCAGCTGACAGTGCCAAGGTACTGGACATGCAGCGCTTCCACAGCTTTCACCCTGGCCCTCCTGACTGGAAAAAAGAAAATACACTACTCTTCTCCAAGGCAGCGCACATTGCCCAGTGCCAGCTCATAACCATGGAGGTGGCTGTGCCCTAGTCGTGCCTGTGCCCTAGTCGTGCCTGTGCCTTTGTCATGGCTTCCCCCTCAGACATGGATGGTGCAGGAGCAAAGGCTGGCTTAGGCCCATGCAAGCAGCCACTTTTGGGGCACAGCTGCCTGCCTGAATGTGCCCCTATGAGTCCTGTAAGCTGCCAGGCGCTGGGCTGACATCCTGGCTGGGCTCTGACCCTGGAAGACGTGGCCTGAACAGATAGAGCAATACAGGTTGGCAACCCAAGAGCTATGAGGGAAAATAATCGCCTGCCCAGCCACCAGAGAGTGAGTTATGGGCAAATTCTGCCTTTCTCCTGATTGAAACAAAATAAATGCCAAACCAAAACTGCAGAGACACCAGATGCGAGCTTCCTAAATCTTAATTTAACACACATTTAAAACAAGACCAGTTAGAAAAGGAAAAGGCATGGTTGCATAGACAACATGGACAGAGCTACACCTGCATTTCCCACTTCATGGGAGCTTCACAGCGGAAACATCAGTGTTGTTCAGTTCTCCAAAAGAGCGATACCAAATACCAACCAAGGAACCGTCATCCTTGGTCCCGGGCTGTCCCCAGGACACTTACAGCAATTACTGACATTAAAGCAGTATTCGGGAAGCGTTTCCCCTGTCTTTAGCCACAATGGGGCTATTTCACACGGTGCGATAGGCACGCCACGCACATTGAAAATTCGGCATCTGCTCCAGTACTCTGTGGAGAACCGGATCACGAGGGTGATTGCAATCGCACGCAGACAGGGCCGTGTTATACATCTCGGTTAGACAGTGAAACATAAGGGATGGCAGGCTAGCCGCTCCGCTCCGGGGTTGTCTACACGGAAAACCACACCATTATAATGACAGCACTATAGGTCAACTGCTACTGCTCCTCACCACGCTGGTGCACATCTCCACTCTTACACTGGCTTTCTCCAGTTTAGCTTAAACTGCTCCCAGCTTGACATACCCAGTATACGGGAGAGTCCTGCCTTCTGCTGAAGTAAATATCCACGGAGGCTGTATGCGTACAGCTCCTTGCTTTAAAATCCGCCCCCCAACCGTACATCTGTAGCTAGACCTGCCCTTCGGCTAACCTTTCTGTACTCCGCACACTTCTGGGCTGTTCACAGTGCCCGTGAAACACTATTACACCCTGCTTCCCTTGGGTGCTAATCCTGCTTGTCAACCCAAAGGCAGAAGCAGACAGTGGCTTGGCATTTTGATTACGTTGTGATCTGTTTGAACCTTCCAGACTCTTTTGATGTCTGTGCAAATTTGAAAGGGGGAGCCTTCATCCTCCACAACGAAACCCCGCTATCGCACAGTGAAACATCTCGGGACTCCTACGTCCGTAGCCATCGCTAGGTTTGAAGCGGGGAGGGGAGCTATGGCTCCTCCAGGAAGAGTGAAATTTCAGACTAACCAGTTCTGGCCCTGAGCGGAGAACACCACGGGGACAGCGCGTTGCTCTTCAAACAAATGCATGCGTAGGGGAGTATGCGCATGCACAGAGACACCATATTTATACAAATAGATGCATTCATAGGAAAATGCAAATAGCATCCTCTTCCGTCCCAGGCTCCCTTCGAGCTCCTGACATCCCAAGGTTTCAGAGGAGTACAACCGAGCTTCAGATCAAACATTAGCCCTGCGGGGGTTCCCTCAGGGAAGCAGCCGTGCACCGGGGTCTTTTCCCCGCTTCCATGCGAGGTTTCCCGACCCGGCCTTCCTTGGGTGCTCTGTTCTGACACGCGTTCGACACACGCGCGCGCATGCAGAGCCTTGCTAAAAGGTGCTCTGGGAATTGAGCTCCGCTTCCTCCTTCTTCTAAATCAATTGTCATAAACCAGCTTTTGTTTTATTTTTAACAAAGCGACAGAAATAATCTCCATGCACAGCCCGTGCCGCTCTCACAGCCCCATCCTCTGGCACAACAAGCTGCCCAGGGCCCCCTGAGGACACAGGCATGGGAAGACAGAGGGGTAAGGAAGACTGGGAGAGGCTGCTTTCAGGTGCACAGAAATCCACTCCTCCTCTCTTGAGCCCATTACTCGGCAGGCAGCGAGGCAGCGGGATGGGAAGGGGGTTGGATGGCGAGTAAAGCACTCCCAACCTCCCCAAATGAATTTCCAGCTGGGCCCTTCATCCCCAGCCCACTGAGCTGCCCGCTTTCGACCTGCATTTTACCTTGCACTCTGCGAAGCACAGTTCCTCTCGCTCTTTGGTACCAGCAAGGGATGACCCCCTCAGCACCACTGCGGCAATCGATGGGCTGACATGCAACTTGTGACAGCCCAAGCTCTGCCTGCCTGAGGTACACCCCTCTCTCCAGCATAGCCAAGGACCCGTCCCTCCTCCTCCTCCTCCTCCCATCCCACTCGCCCAGGTCCAGGACTCAGACATATGGAGACATTTCTTGATGAAACCTATCAGTGGGTGAGTGGCAGCTGAGCAGGTACCGAGCAAGACGTGGGGCCAGACAGCAGCCAGGGGGGAAGGCAGCGGGTGGAGGGAACGTGCCTCGGGAGGAATACTCACAAAGGGCTGCTTTCATTAATAAAACATTCCCCCCTCGGTCGCCTTTTGATTTGGGTGTAAGAATTAACCCCATCTGCCCAACAGCACGCTACCTACCAAGTCATCTCTGCCGAGGAAGGCCGTCTGACGTGTCCGCTCAATTGCTACGCTTCCCCCTGCCCGTGCTCCTCGGCTCTCCAGACCCCCTCCAAACAGCTCACCAGCCTTGCTGGGTCCACCCTATTGAATAGATCCTCTTCCCACAACATAGATTAGACCCAGTGAAAATAGGCTTAGTGAAAATACCATTTCACTATTAATGCTCCCCCCCCCACCAACCCGCCTTCACACTCTCTCACACCCAGAAAGATTATAACAAATCCCGGTCACCTTTTGCCCTTGCTAACTACTGCTCCAGTCTTCGCACTGCGCGCCTTCTACTGCGACTAGAGGGCTGGGAACGGGGTAGTACTTAGATATATACACACATATATATATCTAGTCAGCACTGGAGATGTTCAGCTGCAGACACAGATCTCCCTGCACAGCATCTTGCCCTGTCATGACACCCCAGCCAGTCCCTCTCTGCTGTAATTGCAGTGCCTGGTCCTTGGGCATCAGCAGAAAGTTGCAGCAAATCCTGCGCTGGTTTAAGCACGATCTGTCCATACAAAATTGGTGGGGGGTTGCTTTTACATCACTGAGACGTTTCTATTATCTTTCTGTTTCAAGTAAAACCGAGATGCAGAGATGCCTTCGAACAGACAGCCCCTTCATTTTTCCAGAGGTGTGTTTTAATGAGTGACTCGCCTTCCAAAAAGGGGCCGGCGGAGGGGAAGGACGGCAGATTCTCCACACAAATTCAATAGCTGGTAGGTTGCCATGGGCTAAAGCATTTCTTTGCACACATGAAGGGAAGGGACTCCAGAGCACTAAGGGTTTTGCCTCCCATGAGTTATAGCTCTACCCTTCAAGAGCGGAATAAATGCTTTATCCCATTGCAGCCTGCGATGTATTCTACATAGATGGATTGATTTCCCCTATTGTTCTTAATAAATCCTGGCGCATGAAGAAACTCGCTGCACAGCCATTTTTCCTGCCTTGTTCTACCTTGCAGAAGTAATAAGGGTCAGATGTGACTGCAGTGGGAAGCAAAGGCCGTACGCGAGGCGGTACTTTGCTGGATGCAGTGGGTGTGTTCGCAGGGGCTCCGTGGGTGCAGAAAAGCAACACCCTTTTCTCTGTTTATTCCCCCTTCTAGTCTAAGCTGAGGAAGAGGGGCACCACGGCTGGGTACCGCAGCACTGGCGTGGCTCTGAGGGGAGCAGCCGTTCTACAAGCTGAGCCTGCACAAGCCCCCCCTGCTCTGCACAGGGAAAGGTAAGGCTCTGGCCCTCTCTGATCGGAGCTTGCACAATGTCTGATAAATACAGGGCTGAGCCCTGCACCACTGTAGAGCCTTCCCAGCACATCCTCCTCCCTGCCATACCCTGTCCATCAAACCTGCCCCTGCCCACATCCCAGCTGAGGGGAGCCTAAACCACCAGCCCAGGGGCTCCTCTGGTTTTTGAAAACAAAACCAAAAAAAACCCCACCAAAATGCCAAACCAACCCTCCTCTCAATGATTCCCATCTGCACAATCCAGACCTCCAGGTTGTTGAAAGGCTCTCTCCCTCCCTACACCCTTTTCTACTCGCAAGGTTGACACTGGTCCTCTTTTCCTGCTTCAGAAGGGTGTTTGGTGGCCACAGCTTGGTTGATGTCCAGCAAGAAGGCTCTGCTGGGCTAGGGGAAGCAGGTAGTTTTGCATGGACCCGCCTCAGTCACCTGCCTCCAGCTCCGTCCAGGCTCCCTGGGTTATCACTGCTGGCCTTCTCTAGCCGCAGCTAACAACTGGCCCCGTGACAAAAGCCTGGCTGGGAAATTTGGGAGGGAGGGATCAGGTAAAAGAGCTGGTCTCCCATGCACGCGTTGTACTCAATCCTTCAGCAAGACTCCCAGGGACTCACCTCTCCTTGCTCAGGTGGAGTCGTCCCAGCCCTTCCCACGGCATCCCACTTGCGCGAACTTGCAGTCATGTCTGATTAAGGAAAAGAGAATTTGTCTCAATTAGAAAGAGGCTCCCGTATGCATGGACGGATGTCAAGTAATTACTGAATGTCAGTCACGGCTGGAAAAAGAGACCTTAAATTTGGGGACCGTGCAAACTCGCACACACAATTGCGAGTGAGTTACGGACCTTGGCATGCTTCAGAGCCTACCTTGTGCGGATGCTTTCAAGCCCGTCCCCTCGGCTGAAATACACCCAGCCCCGTAAAATACAGCCAGACGCGACCCCGTTCTCTAATAAGGAAATAAAGCCGAGCGGACCTACATTGCCAGAGCCCAGAGAGCAACACTGTCTCTTTAATTTTCTCCCTGGCTATCTCATCCTTTGCACAAACTCTTTCCTCCCCGTGGCTTCTTCCAGCCTGGTGGGCAAAGTGGGAAAACATCATTAGGGAGGAAAAATAATTTAGTTTGTTAATCAGTATCCAGTGGTGGGAAACAAGAAAGACAGAGAGCAGGGCTGGCGGTTAGGGCTTAGGAAGGGCCAGCACAAAGCCCACCATTCATGACATCTGGGGCTGGGATTCTCATTGAATTAAACAGACACAAAGAGCAGAGGCATTTCATGCTCTCTTCACAAGAATTATCATATCTCCCTGGCACTAGGAAACCTTCAGCACGGGAGAGGGGGAGAGAGAGGGAGAGGGGAAAGCGGGCAGGCTGGGTAGAAATATGGGGCAGGGTAGAGGAGGCTTTGTTCCAGGGTTGGATTTATGGATGGGATGCGGCGCGTTGCTTTGCGGGGAGAGACAGGGCCCTGGCGCGCTGGGTCTAATAAGAATCAGCAAATGTGAAACAGGGGGCCCCTGTGTACCATGAAGCAGGGAAACCCGCGTTTGACAAGCCAACAGAATAACCGCTCGCGTCTCAAGGCTGTGGAAGGATGCTGACGTTCGTGCGAGATGTGTCGTCTTGTGTGTGTGTCAGCGAGGAGGGGGGAGAAGGGGAGCGGCGAGGAGTATAAACAAGAGACCAGGCAGCATCGTTCAGTCATGAAAATTAATTAGCTAATGTGCAAACCATGGCTGCCTCTTCCCACTGCCCTGCAAGCATTCCCCATAAAGCTACGGTGTGCACGGAGCCTGTGACTGGGAATGACAGGGGCAGATTAGGCAGCTCCTTGGGATACAAGCCTGGCAGCAAGAAACCCACAACCCGTGCAAAAAAAAAAGTGAGGAGGGGACAATTAGGGTCCTTGGGGAAGGGGCAGAGCCCAGGGGCCAGGAGAAAGAGAAGCAGGAGAGTCCAGGCACTGAGCTGAGACCAGGGATCGTGTTGCTGCAGCAGCATAAATTGGGGTGGACCCGAAAAAACAGCCATTAGCGGGGTTTCATGGAGAGCAAAAGCATTTAGGGTTTAAACCACAAGCTCTGTGGGGCAGGACCTGTTATCTCCTCCAGGCTCACACCACAGAGGCCCATCCTACTATCAGTGGATCTGCTTTAAATACTAATTGTTCCATGACCAAGACCTGTGAGCTTCTGGGAGCCTCCCTACAGCATTACCTGCGGGAAGAGGGGACAGATCTCTGACCTCATGTCCCCAGGGAAATTTGACCCCGTGCACTGGTGTCACAAGCGAATATTACTACCCAGTGATGAAGACGAGGAACTCCTGACTGACTTCATGTGCCCCATCCCCGAGCTTTCAGATCCCACTACAATATCCTGCTTATTCTTGGCTGGGAGCAACCACAGGAGAATGAGGGTGCAGGTGGCAATTACCCGGGGGAAAAGGGCACAAAAAGGGAATGAGGAGATGCAGAAAGCGATTGGTAGAGAGGAAAAAAATGGAGAAGCTTCTTCGACATGGGATGTGCAGAGAGAACAAGGAACGCGCTGGAAACAAAGGGATGCAAGGAGAGAGGAGAGGCTGGGATGGGCATCTCAGCAGACATGTAGGTAAAAGTTGAAAAGGAAGCACTAATTAGCACCCAGACCATCACTTTCCATTAATAGCTTGTCACCGTTTCCTTGATGTTGCTGAGAGCAGGAAAGTTGGTATGTGTGATGCTTACCTGTCTCTATCTCATTAACAGAAGTCAGGGTGAGAACAGACGTTTATTGCCTGCACCCAGATAGACAGGCCCTTTGCTGAACTGAGATGCAGGAGAGAGGGGGAAAGTTATGAGAAAGATGCTCGTGAAACACAAGCCCATACCAACACGATGAAAACCCAAACCTAGGACACTTGGGTACCTGTGCTGACGTGGAAACAGCCCCAAGGAGGTTTCGGGATCCAGGAGTCCACAAGGCAAAACCACAACATCATATATTATAATCCAGAGTAGACACACTGCTGGCCAGGGGAAAATGCTCTGGTATCAGCACAAGGTACGTGCAAGGGGCTGTGACTACATTACACCCAGGAAAGTAAAACAAAAGACTGCTTGCTCCCCCAAATTTGCTCAACCAGACTGCACTCTGCTAGAAACCATAGACAGCCAAATGTCTTATTGCAAGCCAAAACGGAGAAACCCCCCCGTAAACAAAGAAAAAAGGAAAAAAAGCACCATTTCAAGCAAAGATAAATCTGCATTGCATGTAACCACCTCTGAAGTAATTCTTCCAGCAGTTAAAAAAAGGTATTAGATCTCCTGTGTGATACACAAAGGCCTCTCCATTCCCTCCAACACGTGCAACGGCTCCCGTTAGGGACCTGGCAAAGAGGGAATGTTCAAGGCAAGGACACCAAGCAGTGAGTATCTGCAAGCTGGTAGCACACATCTGCTGGTGCAGTGAGGGGAGCGTGCGTGCACGTGCACACTCCTCGGGACACCCCCGCTTTCACAAGCACACAAATTCACTACACAAGCTGAAGGTTCCTCAAGAGCAAGAGCCCAAACCTCCCTAGGAGCGGAGGAGGCAAAACCAAAGGCAAAGAAAACATCACGGCTGGGGCTGGAGGAACAAAGGCTTCCCCCTCTCAGCTTGGAGACATCTTCTTGGCCATTTAGCTCAGATCAAGTGTAGACTCTGTTGACTCCCCCATCTATTCAAACGAGCGCTTTCAATAGTCTGATAGGTCTTTTCTGCTCTACGGCTTCTCTACCCCTGCATTTGCCGTCCCCGACCAAGGCAGTTAATGCCACATGCAGAAATGCTGCCCTGAAGAGCCCTCGTTTAGATTGCGTGGTCAAGCACTTCAAAGTTAGGAAGTGTCCAATTTATGGCTGTCCCTGCAACCTTAATTCCACCTCGCTGTGCAGCCACCCTGGTCAGGGAAAGAAGGAGGGAGCTAAAAATAGGCTGTGACCGTGTCATTACAGCCTCGTAAGGGCAGGGCCAGGAGGAGGCTGAATTAACGTCTCATGGTCAAACCCAAATCGGGTACCCCCCCTGATTTGCCAGCGCTCGCTTTGGTGCCTTCAACCGTGTACATTTTTAATATACAGAAATCACGTGCATTCTAAACATACAGAAAAAAATGCATTATTTATAGCTGATAAATAATAGATTGTTTATATAAGCAAAAAGAAAAACAATTGTAGGCAAGTGTAACAAATTCCCCTCCCTCCACCCCGCACCCACCCATCCCTTCCCTGCCTTGGTCCTGCGCAGGGAAGAGCGGTTTCAAGCCCCGAGCCTCGGCACAGATTTCTGCCACTATGAAATACAGGGCTAATGTTATCTGGCAGCGGCAGAAGGCTGCTCTCCCGGGGCCGGCGGGGAAGGGGGACCTCTGGGGCTGGCAGTGCCCAGGCCAACGCACCCACACACCCCTCCCCTACGTTTTTTTTCCTCCCGGCGCCAGAACCCGGAGGAGTTTGTTTCCAGGAGATGAGGCCGCGCTGGAAGAATATGAGCTAGAGGTGGAAGGGGGTGGTGGAGTTGACCGTGACTGTCCTCCCACCAACCCAGGCTGCCCCAGAGCTCTGCAGCACAGTGGTGGGAGCCCAGGGCTTCACCCTGCTCATGGTCTATTATTATTATTATTATTCCAGGGAAACAATAAATTTTAATATTTCCCCCCCCCCCCCCAAGAGGCATCCAAAGGGAAATCACGATTCCGAACAATTCATAATTCAGCTAAACCTGAAAGGAATTTAAGGGACAAAGAACAGGCATTTCTCCAGCCGAAGAGCTTCCCCCGGCCGAATTTCAAGGGCCCGCAGCGAACAATGGGAGTGTCAGAGGTGCTCAAAAAGAAAAAAAAAAAGTTCAAGAATCTTTACAATAAAAAGTGTTAGGCAACACAGAGGTCAGAGCCAGCTCCTCCTATAATAAATAGCACGACTATCCTACATTAACTATAGGAGACATTTTAATGCAGTGCCTCGGCTTCGTGCTAATTATACTTTTTCACCATATTTTGAACCTAAGAAAAAAATGTCATCAGTTAATTATAACAGATGAGGGAGTGTGAAGACTTCCTCAATAAATAATGCCTTGATATCTCATATCCAACAAGCTGCGCGCACTGCTCTGAAGGTGCCCAGAAATATGTGCTCTCAGGAAATATATCAAGAAGTGATGGTTCCATAAGCTGGCTTTGTTTCCAAGCCTTGATTTTCGGCCCAATAATTAAGTGATTTTTATGGATCGGGGAGAGTAAAGGTCGTGGGACTGCTGGAACCATGCCAGACAGAGCCAGTGTTTAAAAATAAATAAATTCCCAGATCAAAACGAGATACAAGAGACCTCGGCAAATTCCCCCCACGGCCACACACCCGAACGCATGGAAGCGATTTGGTTTCTGGACCTGGGTCCCATCTTTCCTTTGCTCTCAGCATCTCCACGGGAGTCTGGTGTGCCCAGAAAAAGTCTGTTTTCAATGAAACCAGGCCACCGCTGCCAGCCTGCCACCGGGAGCCAGCCACCGCCGTCCACCTGTCCCAGGGAGAAGGGACACCCTAGGCACAGCTCCCTGCTGCACCCAGCCCTACCAAGGCCGGTGGGCATCTGGGCTGTTAGGAGGGTTCCTCAACTAAACCATCTTTCTTTCAGCTCCCTTCCCCACCCGGCACCCCTCACTTCCCCCTCTGAAGAGCTGGGATTTGGCGTGGGAAAGATGTCTTTGGGCTTTTCACAAATCCAGTATCCCCTTGAACCAAAACCAATTAGCCTGGCCCAAGGTCCTGCCATTGAGGGACTGTCCCTTCTTTTCAAACCCCCGCGGGCTCAATTGCTCTAAGGAGCCTGGATGTGAATGAGCAAAGCCCACTTAAAGTGGTACTTAAGGCCAGACCAGGGTGAAGGAAAAGAGAAAGCCTCTATAGGAACAGCGAGCCGAGTTTCCAAGAGACAGCTAACTGCCGGAGATTGTGTTCTTTTGCTCCCCCCCGTTTTCTTTTTTGTACCCCCACTCCTGAGCTTTCGAGGCAAACGCTCCTAACCAAACCTGAGCCCCTGAATAAATATTAGACGGCACCTGAAAATGTGAAAGCCAGAGCCCCGTCCTGACTCTTTGCAGATGCCGGGAGCCCGGCCACAGGCAGCGTGATGGCTCAGCCTCCTACCAGCACAAGCTCTGGTCCCGAACACGTGCACCCGGAGGGATGGAAGGAGGGAGGACGAGCAGCCCCAGACAATGTTTTTGCAGTTGGGCTCTTGGCAAACGCCTCCTCCAGGTGATTGGACTTGTCAGCACGAAATGCCAAAATCCCCAACCTGGAAAGGGTGACTCCCCGCACCATGTGGTGGGGAAGCCAGCGCGGGCAGCCACGCAGCCATCTTACGCTCCTGGCCCCTGAGGACTTCTGGAGGCTTGAGGCTGGTGGGGTGACATGCGGTACCCACACCAAGAGCAGCCAGGAGAAACTCACATCACCTGCACAGATGCCACATTAGCACCTTCTCTCCACCGAGACATGAGAAAGCGTGTTTCCAGCACGCAGCCACACGTCCCTCCTGCAACCATGGGCGGGATGGACCCTCCAAGCCCCCTGAGCTCTGCCCCTTCTCCGGTGGCATGGACAAAGCCAGGGCAGAGCAGCAGGTAAAGGGAGGCACCGTCCGCCTGCGTCAAGGGTGCGGGGAGGGGGTGGGAGCCAAAGGAGACAAAAGAAATGGCCGAGCTCGGTGGAACCCGCCATTGCCAGGCGATCCCTCAAAAATGCCCATTGATGGGATTTCATCCATAACCGAGTGGGAGAGCTCGCATGGCCCGGCTCCTGAGGTGGCTCCTTCGAATGGCAGGGACCAAACAACCCCTTTGCCATCTACCCCCTAAGCCTGGGCAAGTTTGGCTTCCCTGGGTATCTGGTACAAAGCCCCTTCGCCTTGTGCCTCAAGCCCAAACCCGCTGCACGGCGGCCAAGTTTTCGGAAAAGATGGGAAATAATGAGTTGGAGCACGCGATGTCCCAGGGCATCATTTCCCTGGGGTGAAACCCACAAACGATATTTCCCATTTATCCCCCAACGGCACACGCTGATTCTTCCGTTTCTGGCTCCCTCTGCCCATCCCCAGCTCTGCCTGAAGAACAAAGACATCACGGCCCAGCTCCAGAAACCTCACCCACGTCTGGCCTACGCTGCATCCTAGCGCTCTGCCGGCAGAGTCCCACCGAGAAGAGAAACCCACCGGCAAGGACCGCGAATGCCAGGACTTGGGCTCTTCTCCTGGCACAGCCAAGAAAAAGACACCTTCCCTTCTGGGGTTGGGCTGCGTCGGGGAGGAGATCCATCTGAAGCCAACAGCTACGCAAACAGGGCAAAGGGCTAAGCCACAAAGGGACCCGTGCGCCACCCAAATCCATCTCTGGCCCAAAGATGGACCAAAGGGGACTCTGCTTCCACCACGGCACTTCAAAAAAAAAAAAAAAAAAAAAAAAAAAAAAAAAAAAAAGGCACTAAGCTTATGGAGAGAAGCAGAGAAGGAAATGCCCTTTCTATAACCTGTAACAAAAAAAAAAAGGAGCCAGAAAGCAGAGACCTGACAGCGAGTTGCCAGGGACTCTCTCAATGCAGCGGGTATTTCACAAGCAGGGATTTACCGGGGGGCTTCATCCGCCTCCTCGCCCCCCACCCACGCGCGCAGGAGCTGGGGATGCTCGTGCCACCGTCCCCCATCACTCACTGCCACCTCCCTCGTTAATGGGGGGGAGGCACCTCCACGCCTCCCCCAAACACCCGCGGGTTCGCACTGACAACGGGGGCAAAAAGGAAGAATTTAAGCGCCAGTAAAAATTCAACCGCAGTTTCTCTCTCCCGGAAACTAAAGGCCAAATTCCTCAGTCTCTGTCTCACTCCCTTTTGGGGGGAACTGCTCTGGGATAAGTAAACCAAGCCCACGGCCTGAAAAATTACCTGAAAAATCAGCTCAGAACAGGTGATTTTGGGGAAAAAAAAAATATTAGGAGACAAGGGTGGTTTCTGACCAGCTGATCCAACAGCAAGGGGAAAAAGCTTCCATCGATCCTTTGTAAGAGTTCACATGTAGACACGGATTCCCACACTTCCATTTTATTTCATAAAATTATATATATATGGATGTATTTATATACACACAAAGACATTTATTATAGGCGTGTGTATATATATAATTTTTTTTTTCCTTAATTTTTTTTTTCTTTTATATTTTCACCTTTTGCAATTACAAAAGGCAGGGACAGAAATACCTCCTGGGTTCTGCCAGTGCAGGAACACTCCCACCAAACAGATTTTTTTCTCTAACACGCTGGTCGAGTGATTCCTCCTGAATTATATTCATTAGGAATTTGAATGTTTCTTTCCTCCATCCCCCATCAAATCATTACTCCGGAATAAATGCATTCATCAACCACCTTGCTCAGTTCCCTCCTGCTTTGTTCAGTCTAGTTTTAAAGCATCTCCGCTGAAAACGTTTGCACCTGACTCGATGCTAGCGTACGGGAGGGGAAAAAAAATAAAATTAAATATAAATATGAGAAGAATTGAGCACCGCTCACAAATATTGTGGAAATAATTGGAAAATTATTGCTTAAAAATAACCAACATAATAAAGGAGGGAAAGGACTACATTCCCTCCTCCCCACCTCCGATCTCTTCCACAATTTCTGGGATTGCACCGAGCATACATATTCCAGATGGGCTGGAGAGAAGGAGGTTGGTTCTTAATGACACGTCTTTCGCTGCCTTTGGAATGAATGATTCATTCGGATCTCGCCGAGACTCGGTGCCACAGTTGAGTTACATTTCTAGAAAATCCGTATCTTTAATTCTGGCGCTGCGTGTGGGACCCAGCAAATCATGGAATTACTGCTGTAACTTCGGATTAGTAACGCTTTCTAAATGATAGTCTAATTCCAGGCCTTCATGCTTTTCAGCGTTCACACTCACACAGCCTTTTCCCTGGGAGGCTTCCTGCGGAATTAGTGCTGGCGTCTTCGTCTTTCTCTGCCCTTTTTTTAATTTCTCCAATGACTTCTCATTAGAATATATAATAACAACAGCTCCTCAGAACTTTTCCTTCTCCCGGCATAGCCAAATTCAGGCTGAGAGATCCTTTTTCCTTACTGTGGTTATGG